TGGCTCCGTCCGTGTTAAAACATACTTTTAAAAATTTACAAAACTAAACAGCCTACAGTGTTTTTACAGTCTTTATTTTACACTTAAAATATATGTTTATCAAACAAAGTCTAATGTTACAACGAATCATGGATCCCTTTAATCAGACATTCATGAATCAATCTGCACCAGATTTTGAGTGCATCATCAGGGGGACCTGCTCAACACGCTTGTGTGTAGTGGTTTGACAAGATCACTTTAGCCCCCTGTCTATCCATTAGTCTGTCTGCTCACCTTATGAGATTATTTAAATAATGAAGGCCTGTGATGATTCCAACAAAACAGCTGATCATTACTGAATGTCTACGGGGGACATCAGTGACAAGTTCTTTGTTTATCTTGTGCTAAATGAAACACATTTCAAACCAAATCATTCAAGTGGTTCATAAGAGGTTCAAAACACTCAACTGCTTCAGATGTCAGTGGTCACATGACCAAACCATGCCTACATGTGTGTCAGAGGACCATTGTTAGACGTCTATGCGTCCTTGACGTGAACGCAAAGGAGAGTTCAAATATCTCAGTTCAAGCCTGAGTTGAGACATCAATGCTCTCAAAGTTTCTGACAATGATAAGATTTTTTTTGTTTGTTTCTGTCAACAGGATGAAGATTTCCAGGAGATGGAGGAAGCAGCGTGGAAGATGGAGTCTCAGCTCTGGCACTTCTTCGATCAGGTGATTGTGAACGATGAGCTGCAGGACTCCTGCGTCCAGCTGCTGACGGCAGTGAGGAAGGCGCAGGACGAGCCTCATTGGGTTCCTGCCAGCTGGATACGGCCCACTACCGGACCGTGAGAGCAGAAAGCAGTACTAATTTGGGTCACTTTGCTTTTTTTTTCTGCAAAGATGAAGAATCTTAGCAACTGGATGTTTGACGCAAAAAAACGTAAATACTTTGATCTGTGTGTTTGTTGAAATCTGGTTCTTAATTCACTTTAAATCCCAGAAGATGACACAAAGCTGGACTGAAGCCCTGAGAAATCCCTGAAACTGTGTCATAGCAGCCGGTTTGGATGGTTTTAATTTTTTCTCTGATCAAACCGTTTTCAGTTCTTTTGAGCTACAGGGTATTTGATCCAGATTTAAATTATTTTTATGTTCTGTATGTGGTTTTTATTTTCTAAAAAAAACCTAAACATTAATTTTCAGCTCTGCTCCTCACTCTTGTATACAATTTGCAATTATAAATGATTTCTTTATTAATGTTTACATTCTAGAAAATAAAGTGACGTCTTGCATCTGTGTTTCTACACTAACTTGAATCATTGCATGCCAATGTTACTGGAATAAAATGCATGTTTTGTGTTTTTGTTGAGCTTCTATCTCATTTCATGAAATTATTATGTGGGAAAAGTAACAAAAATACAACAAAAATATAATTTAAGCAAAGGCTGAAAAATTAATACCCGTTCCCGTTCGTGACTTTAATAAAACACGTATAGTAATCAGTGTCCATTGCCAATGCAATGCACACTATTGTGATTCATTTCTCATCCAAGTCATCTCAACTTTGGCACGCTTCTCCTCCTGCATCCTTTGTCCTAGAGCTGCCATTGTAATTTATATCTGTAAAGCTCCTGTGCCAAATGATGGCTATGATTTTTGGTGCCTGTACAACTTATAGTATTTGAAATATTAATGTTTAATAATTTATAATGGGAGTCAATGGAGCCTTGTATTGGTCCAATACTGCCCCTGCTGTATCTACTCAGTACTGCACCATAGTTTAATAATATTTAATCTCAATACTTCAGTGTTTGCAATACT